AGCTCAATGTGTATCATCCTCTAACATCAGATGTTCAGATCCAACAACAGCAACGTGAGCAGCTTGATGTGACAAGGTTTCTTGTGGGGTTGAAGGCTGAGTATGAGCCTATCAGAGCACAAATATTGGGAGGATCTGCTCTTCCCTCACTTGAAGAAGTTTTTGCTCGTCTTAAGAGGACATCCATTAAGTCGGTAGAACATTCTTCTCTCTCTAACAGATCTGGTTTGGTAGTGACTAAAGGGGGTGGTCGTGGAAATAGAAGTGGTGGTGTCAGGAGTGGACTCCCAAGCAACCGTGGTGGTCACATGTTTAGCAGGGCTAGTGGTCGAACTGGAGGCCGAGACTCAGGGGGAGGCCGAGGAAGAGGAAGGAGTAATACTCAGAGAAGGTGTACACATTGTGGTTTAAAGGGGCACACAGTTAATTTCTGCTATGATTTGCGTGGTGCACCCAACACTTGTGCTAACCATGCTATGACTAAGGGTAGTGACACAATTACTGAAAGTCAGCAAACTGACCCAATCCCCTCCACATCTACTTGTGCTTCTGAGAAGGAAATGGTGAGTGTACCACGTGCAGTATATGAGCAGTTCATTCAAACATCTCAGCAGAACACCGCTACACTTGCCCATTCAGGTATGGCTTGCTTAGCTTCCAAAGACTCAAACTGGATCATTAACTCCAGGGCCTCGGACCATATGTCTGGGACTCATGATGCATTTTCTTCCCTTTCCCACTCCTCCACACCTCAAACAGTTACACTTGCTAATGGTTCTACATCTYCWATYTGTGGTGTTGRTGATRTTAATCTCTCCTCCTTGCCTTTATCATCTGTTTTATATGTTCCTAAGTTTCCTTTTAACCTTATGTCTGTCAGCAGATTAACCAAGTCTCTTAATTGTTCTGTAACCTTCTATCCTTCTTCTTGTGTGTTTCAGGATCTCAAGACGTGGAGGAAGATTGATGGAGGGCATGAAGCAGGTGGATTATATTACCTTGATGGTGGTGGTCCTCCAGTAGCTTTTCAGTCATCTCTCACTCCTCTTCAATGGCACTACAGACTTGGTCATCCTTCTCTTAAGGCCTTGAAGTTACTGGTTCCTTCCTTGAGTCATCTTTCTTCGTTAGATTGTGAGTCATGTCAATTGGGTAAACATCATAGAGTCTCATTTAGTCCAAGAGTTGATAGTCGTGTCTCAATTCCTTTTTTTTAGTTCATTTTGATGTATGGGGTCTAATTAAAATGGTGTCATACAATGGGTATAAGTATTTTGTAATCTTTGTTGATGACTTTTCAAGGATGACATGGATTTATCTTATGAAAGATCGTAGTGAGTTATTCCCTATTTTTTAAAAATTTTATGCCGAAATACACACTCAATTTGGTGTTCATATTAAAATTCTTCGCTCCGATAATGCCAAAGAATACAACTCCTCACCATTTCAGCAATACCTAGAACATCATGGGATCATTCATCAAACTTCTTGTGCCTACACCCCACAACAGAACG